GTTCACTTTTGAAGAAGTAATGAAAGAGTCTATTTTTGAGAAATAGTTCACTTTTGAAGAAGTAATGAAAGAGTCTATTTTTGAGCCAAATATTTTAAATGCCAAAGCAAAAGAAAACAAAAAGAAAAATCTCAAATGTAAATAAATAAAGTACCATGCTCAAGTAATTTTATGCTTGAGGCAAAAAGTAAGCGATACAAAAAATAAGAAAAAGAATAAGCAATAAGGTCATTATAAGTATTTGGCTACAAAATAGCATACGTTTTTCTCCTAATAGTTCTCAAGAGCTTTTCTCCGATCTTGGATTTGAGCCATCGTGATAAAGTCATGATGGAATATAGCACTAATCGCATTTCATGATGTTGTGATTGTATAACTGCATTGTTGCATGCCATTTCATAAGCATGCATTCATGCATACATGCACCATGTCGTGTTCTCTAATGTTCATTTTATGCAGTCAAGATAGCACCGCATAAAGAAAAAGCACCAGAATCAGTCAGTTGATTGAGGACAGATAGCTGATTGACTAGAGTTGAAGAACCTTCAACCCCCTCTGATTTACCTAGTCTAATTCCCTCCAGTCTGTCAGGCTCCCACTTTGAGATTGAAAATTCTCCAATTTAAACAGATTTTTCAATTCTAGTCCCTATATATATTGATAAAATGACCGAAACTAGTGTTCCTTTGTCTGATATTGAGAAGATGATTGAGAAAATAGTGGCATCTAGTCCTGAGAAGCTCATGAGATTCAATAAGGGAAAAGAGAAAGTGGTAATCGAAGACGATGAAGAGGCTAAGGATGAGTTTGAGAAGAGAGAACACGCCGACGACACTTAGCAAGACGATGAGTTTTTTAAAAAGATGTCTGCTAAGAAGGCTGAGTCGAGGTCCATCATCTCGGAAAAGTTTCAAAAGCTAAACAAGAAGCTCGAAAAGCTACACGTGTTCATAAAGTCCAAGGGGATGGACCAATACATGGACATAGATGATGAAGATAAGGAGGAGTTAGAATTAAGACAAGCTACCCCTATGAATTACAAGATGCCAAAGGTGGCAAAGTATGATGGTAATAGTGACTCGAAGGTGCACCTCATGCAGTACAAGTCTATCATGGAGTTGGGGGGTCTGCCGTCAAGGAAAATTTTTGAAAATGTTCCCGATGTCCTTAACTAGTCTGCCCAGACTTGGTATTACAATCCGAAAAGAGAGTGAGAAGAGATTGGAATAAGCTTACCATGATTTTCCTCAAGAACATGCTTACAATCTCCAAATAAGTGTTAATTTGAGAGATTTGGAAGCGACTGTGCAAAAAGAATATGAGACCCTCACAGATTATATGGCTAAATGAAGAGCCAATGTCACGCAAATGAGGAACCGTCCGGATACCAAGGACCAAATCAAGATGTTCATCAAGGGGACTCTGCCGACCTTCCATGAGAAGTTGTACTATATGCCACTGACCAAGGTTTCTCAAGTTTATGAAGTGGGGACCACCATTGAAAACAAGATCAGAGAGGATAGGAAGTATAGGAATTGTACCGAAAACTTTAGTAAGTCCGGATTCCAAGGGTCCAATCAATCAACCAAGACTCTAAGCACCAATAAGAATACAACAACAGCCGCTCTAGCTTTGAGAGTTACTAATGTGTTGCAAAGGAGATTCTCTAACTTTGGCACTCCTCTCTCTAGAGTGTTCGAGAAAGTAAAAGCAGCAGGCCTGTTACCACTGCTTGCGCCAAGACCCCCCTCCTGCAATTTTGCCAAGGAATTTTAATCAGAATGCTTATTGTCACTTCCATCAGAATAAGGGTCATACAACTAATAATTGCTTGCAATTAGGGCACGAGATCCAAGATCTTATCGACAATGGCCAAGTTACTGATCCCGAGAAATCAAGGCCTAACACGAGGACTAATCCACTCTCTAATTTTAGAAACATGCCACCTACTAAGAACTTATATATGTTAAGTCTAGAAAGACTCCCGAGGAGGTTCTAGCCAAGTTTGAAGAAGAGCAGGAAAGAGAGAGGGAGATGCTATTAGAGCAGATTTATGTTATGGTGCTCAACGTATGGTACTGTGATGAGGAATGGATGGAGCAAAATGAGCAAGTTTGGGTTGGCAGTGATGACGAGGTGGAGGAACATCACGTATGGAGTAGCGAGTAGCGAGGAAGAGGAAGAAGCCAAAACTGTAAGCCATATGACCCAAAGTGGTCGGATCTATCAGCCAGATATGATTAAGCCTCGAGAGGAGAAAGAAAAGGTAAGCTCATCGGGTGTGTCGAAGACTAAAATAGAAGACGATGCTCTAATTAAACAAATGAAGAGAATCCATCCAAATGTAAGTATATGGGACCTGTTAGTATCGTCAAAGCAACATCGAGAAGCTTTTCTAAAAGCCATGGTGGAGATTCCGGTTTCATCATCCATCTCTTTGGCTGATTTTGTGGGGATAGTCCAACATGATCCCCTCGCTATTACCTTTTCTAATGATGAACTTCCTCTCGAAAAAAGGAATTACAGCAAGGCACTGTTCGTAAAAGTCGAGGTTAGAGGGAGAGTTACTAGAAATGTAATGATAGATGATGGCTCTGCCCTGAATGTGTGTTCGTTAAAGCTGCTTTCCAAGTTCAAGTTAGAACTATCTTATTTAGAACCTTCTGATTTGGTGATTAGAGCATATGATGATTCTAAGAGATAAGTGGAGGGCATCTTCAAAACCGTGATCAAGGTGGGGCCAATTTAAAAGGAGACCGAGTTCATTGTGATTGATATCCCGCATCTTTTACCTTGCTACTTAGGCGCCCATGCTATCATTCCTTGGGAGGAGTGCCTTCAACGTTACATCAGAAAATCAAGTTTCCATTTAATGGGAAAATCATCACCATACCTGCTGCTAATGAAAGAAGGGTAGCTATGCTAAATGTGGATAAGCAGGTTATCCTTCCATGGGTTTAGTTTTCAGATCGCTATGCTGATTACTGATATGGGGCCCACTGTCTCCAACATCATGAAGAGGATGAATTATGATGAAAGGAAAGGACTTGGAAAGGATCAACAAGGCATTACGGAGATACCAAAGATCCACACTCAAAGGGACCGACTAGGCTTGGGGTATATATTTGGAAGCACACCGAAGAAAACATACGACTGGTTCAACATGGATGGACGTTTCGTCCATTCGAGTGAGCATTCCCCTCAGTGTCTACCAATAGAGCCTTTTGAACACAAGGGAAAGACATACATTGGTCTAGAAATCTTTGTAGAAGTTATCGATATCTTAGCGGTTGAGCCTAAGAAGCCTATGGAAGAGAAAAAACAAAAGACGAAGAGAAGACATCCGAGAGAGAGGGGGTTAAAGGGCCACGAGCAGCCGAGGAAGAAGGAAAGAAAGAGGAACAAGAAGAGGGACAAACTGCCCAAGAAGAGGAGAAGGAAGAGAAGAATAAAGGGAAGGCGAGTGCCGAAGAAGAAGAGGACCCCATGGATCAAGTGCTGAAGGCGATCCGAGCCTGTATGGAAGAAAGCTTTAAAGAAGCTGAAGCCTCTACTGATGTGCCTATTTCTGTTAGTGATGAGTCTGATTGTAATGAACTATCTTTATTGTTCAATGAAATGAACTTCAATTTTGCTTAAATGTTTTATGTCTTTCTTGATGGTTCCATTCTTCGAGTAGATAAGCACATGTGCATATTTGACATTAACTCATTATGCATGCTTGAATTTAATATTGGATTGGCACAAAAGATAATCCCCAAATTCTATTAATTGGGATGAATCTAACGCCAGAGTTAAACACAAAATTTCAAAGTCTACTCATGGACAAAAAGGAAGCCTTTGCATGGAGTTACGAGGACATGCCAGGGATAAACAGATCTATAGTTGAGCACACAATTTTCCAGTCTCCTAGAGCCAAGCCAATGAAACAGAAAAGAAGAAGGTTGAGACCAGAATGGCCCGAGAAAGTTAAAGAAGAAGTGACTAAGCATATAGATACATGATTTCTAGAAGTGGTTCACTATCTAGAATGATTGGCGAATATAGTCCCAGTTTCTAAGAAAGATGAAAGGGTCTGAATGTGTGTGGACTACAAGGATATGAACAAAGCATCACTGAAGGATGATTTTCCTCTCCCTCATATTGATATCTTCATTGATAGTGCAGCAATGATGGGATGCTACTCCATTATGGATGGTTGCAGGATATAACCAAATTCTTATGGCATTACTAGACGAGGTCAAGATAGCATTTGTGACGCAGTTTGGTACTTTTTGCTACCATGTAATGCTGTTTGGCTTAAAGAACATAATTAATTAATTAATATATCTAATAAAATTTATTAAATATTTATTATTTCATCTAATCTAATCTATTTAATTTATGTATTTTAACTTATCCAAAAAATATGTATTTAATTTATATATTTTAAAATTGTAAGTTGGATAATAATATATTAAAATTACTTAATATGAGTGTGTTATTATGTTATTCCTCTTTTAATTATGCAAAAATGAATAGAATGCTAAAATCTAATTCTTCAATAGTTGATTGTTACTAATCAAATGCTTTTATGTTTTTTTTTTAAAAGAAATTGATGCTAATTGAGTCTACCCTTATCATTTTTAAAAAAATTGAAGTCTAATCTTATAATTAATAATAATTTTTTCATTTTATCATCTATAATTATTTTATAATTAATAATAATTTTTTCATTTTATCATCTATAATTATTTTATTAAATATATTTGGATTTTTAATGTTGTCCTATCATATAAAATTTAGTTTAAAAAAATGCTATTCGCTTGTAATATGGATATCATTTAAATAGAGATAAATTTTAATTTAAAGTTTTTTATATATAAATCATGTCTTAATATTATATAAATATCTAAAAAATATAAGAGAAAAGTTATAATCATACATTGTATAAAAATAAATTAATGAATGCGAAGACGATAGTACCGAAATACACTAGTATTAGAGAAAAGTAAGAAAATCCAAACTTTTATTCCAACAAAAAAAACTTTTTTTTTTCTAGTACGTGTGTATATCCATTGTTTTCCGGGTGAGGAAGTGGATGCATTTCCAGCAATGTCGCTTTCTTCAACTTGCCTCCGCTTTCCTTCCACTCTCTCATCTCCTCTCGCTCACCCACGCTTCCTTCCTCCCCAATTCCATGGTTATGCTTTCTTCACAGTTACTTCCCGCCAAAAGTCTATCAATCAAAAGCAAACAAGTAATTCTGCTGCAATTGCAAATCTCAATTCTCCAATGGCAGGGAACCGGCCTTTGATTAATAGAGAGCCTATGGTGCCTCCTTACAATGTTCTTATCACTGGCTCAACAAAGGGTTCGTTTCTCTTCTTTTAGTAGTACTTTAGTTTTTGCGTTTCACTGGTTTTTAGAATTTTGGGTAATTTTGTATGGTGTCTTAATTGCATTTTGCTAATCCAATTTGGATTGGGTCAAGTAGTCTTACTTGAAGTTTATGGATTGTATGCAAGAGAAGATTTTTTATTAAAGAGATAGCTTGGAGGAATTACAGCTAAAGTAGTTGAATAGTAATTGCATTTGTCTGAATTATTCATTTGAAAAGAAGAGTTTTGTCTTACATTGTCTTGGTATGGTTCCAAGCTGAATTGATAATGGGACTAGAAGGTTATTAAACAAATACCTTATATAATGATTCCAATCAGAATTTCTGGCTCACCACTGGCATTATTATTATTATTATTTTCTAGTTGTAGATTTTCAAGATTGTTTTATTCTAAATCTGTGAATGCTCTGTAAATCATAAGGAATGTTAAATGTTCTATCTCTCTCAATGTTTCTAAAATCACAGTTTTTTATGTGCACTAAGCAGTGGTTTAATATGTCATGCAATGTTTTTCATACTCTGTCTTTCGAAAATGGCTGCTATATCAAATATGATTTATTTGTTACTCATGATTTAGGAATAGGGTATGCACTAGCTAAGGAGTTTCTAAAGGCGGGTGACAATATTGTAATTTGCTCAAGATCAGGTAAGGTCTTGCTTTCTGCTGATGTTTTATGGACCATTTATTTTCTGGTCAAGGCAACAGTTCCCTTACTATTAACTTATTTAATTATCTTAATGTAACTTCAACATCAGGGTACTGGAGCTCTATGATTTTGTTGAGAAGAATTCCTTGTCTGTGCAGCATTTGATGCATGCGATGGTTCTCCAATTTACTTTTGTAATGACCATTCATGTGTTATTCCCTATTAAAAACAATTCCCAATGCTCTTTGGCTGCTAACAGTGCAAACTTCTTTAAAGATTAGTTCAACTTCTATGGGGATGAATTGCCCTGGGTCCCCAAGTTTTCAGAAGTGATCTTGATAGAAATTGGGAATTTCTTTAAGATTTATGAGATTTTTTTCTTAAACATTGGTCAATGTGGGATATGATGGTCATGTTTGGACCTTGATGGGATTTTCTGAAATAGGAGAATTTAAGTGTTAAGATCATTATATGTAATTAAGAAAAGGATAGAGCGCAAAATTGAATGAAATTGAAAAATGACCTTCAAAACAGTTAAAACAGTTAAAACATAGTGCTGTTCTAGCATTAATGTTCACATTGGTATCTTCAATGCTGCTATAGTATTGAATAAGTTTGTCTGCTTACTTGTTTTTAAACTCTATTATTGGGTTCTGAATCAATGCTTTCTGGGGATAAGATTTATATTTATTTTAGTTTTTCAGTCTCTAAAAGGCTTCTAGTTTTTCCTTTTGTTTGAATGAATTTATTTGAGAATGACAGCTTGAAAGTCCTTTTACCTTGTACTTAATGTTGTGTGCTTCCCATAGGTCTCCACACTCTCTCTTCTGTTTGTTTTCTTCTTTGTGCTTGATATTTTGTGAATATATTTATATTCTCCTTTCCAAATCAGATTGACAATTTTGAACCATTAAATCCTGATATTTATCTTGAACATCAAACCCCAATTCCTTCCAACCTCAATTCCTCAGCATCTCAAAATTTCATTGATATCAATCAACCGTAGTTCATTGCCTAATTAAACAACTGAAAATTGATTATCTGGGTAGATAACTTATGTTAGTTGGATTTAAGATTCACTGAAGAAGAATATTTGCTTCTGGGTTTCTGGTTCTGTAGAAAATGTTTGGACACTAGATTGGTACAAGGATCATGGGATTAATTTACTCCTAGAAGGTAAAACCCTGGCTTATTTATATATTGTATATTTGTATATATATACTTTGGTCCTTAAAATCTTGGCAGGAATTTTCATAACCATTACGAATAAGGCAAGCACAAAGAGCGTGGAAACTTTTATCTAATAGATTTAGAACATATAGCTTAGAGATATTTCTGATGAAGGATCCATAAGGCCCATCAAATGTTGGGTGAAGATTTCGTATCCAATGCTTTTGCCTTATCTGCCCTTGGCCATATTGCAACATTTTTCTTTTGTGTTTACATTAGGGGTGGGTCTCTTGAAGGGCAACCTGTGTGCTCTTAGGTGTGCAATTTGACCATTGGCAGTACTCCCTGTTATAAAGGCAAGCACTGTGGCTAGAAATGATTAAGGTAGTATATTTAGAGTTTATATGAGCCTCCTCTGTTTGAGGATGCATGTATAGTTGAATACTATACTTCCTTTTATCAACAAGTTCACTTGATTTAGATTGGATAAAAAATTTTGTAGTGTCAAGGCAATAGGATTATAAGGATTAAAGGTATAACAAATTTGAATTTATTAGGTTTGTTCTCTAAGATTTGATACCTCTGGGCCAAGAAATTTACGAATAGTTTTTGCAAAATTTGAGATCCCATCAGAATTTTATGCTTGCAATGTTCCAAATGGCTAGTGTTCACTTTTGTTTACTGGAATTCTTGACAGCTGAGAGGGTGGAATCCGCTGTTCAGAACCTGAGAGAAGAATTTGGAGAGGAGCATGTGTGGGTACTTACTCCATGACTTTATTTCCCTGTTGTTCATATTTCTTTTTTTGGTTCCATACAAACAGTTAATATTTCCATTATTTTCCTGGTGCGGTTACCTATGCTCCAAACTGTTGGCTATGAGTCAATTTCTCTCTTACAGGGTACAACATGTGATGTAAGAGAAGGACAGGATGTGAAGGATCTAGTTGCATTTGCAAAAAAACACCTCAATTACATTGATCTATGGGTATTTATGCTAAATGTTTCTTGATTTTGTTTCCAGTTACTCTATGCTTTCTAATTGTTAGTTAGAAAATATAAAATTGATGTAAACAAATGCTTACAAGATAGAACCTCCATCGTGCACAAATGACAACAGCATGTAAATTTAATCAAATTCTTAATTGATTGTTGAAAGAATATTTCGTATTTCTTTTATTGTGTGTTATATTTTCAATCTCTACACCACTATATATATACACAAGATTGTTCCAATATAGGAAATAGGAAGTTAATCTAAATACGAATAAACCTAACTGGAAGACAATAACAACTAGGAAAGACAATATTGAACTTTATTAAACAAAGATTCAACACTCCCCCTCAGTTGGTGCATAGATATTTACTCATTGCCCAACTTGCAAACTAAAGGATGAACAGTTTGCTATTCAAAACCCTTATGTTGAAAACATTCGGCTAGTTGCCTCTTTCTGAAGCTATATAGGAGACATTTATAAGGCCTTCAACTAATCTTCTCTTTTATAAGTGACGATCAATCTCTATGGCTTAAGTTCGATCATGCTTGGACTAGATTATTCTAATACTGATGGCTGCTTTACTATCACAAAACAAGGATATATTTGTTGTTTCAACCAACTTTAACTCTCCCTTTAATTTGCGCAACCATAGGAGTTCACATATTCCCTGTGCCATAGCTCTATATTTTGTTTCTGCACTGGACCTTGCAACAATGGCCTGCTTCTTGCTTCTCCATGTGACAAGGTTTCCTCCAACAAAAACACAATATCCTGAGGTTGATCTTCCATCATCAAGGGAACTAGCCCAATCCGCATCTGTATAGCCTGTTATTGTCAAATAGCCATGTTTAGAAAATAAAAGTCCTCTACCAGGAGCTGATTTTAAATATCTTTAGAATTCGATGCACAGCTTCTAAGTGAGACTCCCGAGGATCATGCAATAACTGACTCACTAAACCTTACAGCATAGGCAATATTGGTCTCGTATGGGCAAGGTAAACTCAACTCCCGAACAATCCTCTGATAACCTTCCCCATCAACTGAACTTCCCACTCCAGCTTTTGAAGCTTATGATTGGCTTCAAAATAGGTGATTCTGCAGGTTTTACATGCCAACATAACAGTTTCTTTTCTTTAAGGAGATCAAGGATGTACTTTCTTTGAGAAATAAAAATCCCTTTTTCTGATCTAGCGCAACTTCTATCCCAAGGAAATATCTCAAATTTTCCAAATCCTCAATCTCAAACTCCCTAGCTAACAAACTTTTCAAGTGAGTCATTTCTTCTTCATTATTTTCGATCATCACTATATCATCAACATAAACAATAAGCAATATAATTTTAAATTCATGATGTTTAATGAACAAAGTTTGATCATCATCGCTCTGAATGTATCCAAAAGAAAGCATAGCTTTGCTAAACCTTTTAAACCATGCTCTTGGTGATTGCTTCAGCCCATATAATGACTTCTTCAGCTTGCAAACTTTTCTCTGGTCTTGTCATCATCAAATCCAGGAGGAATCTCCCATATACACCTCTTCTTCAAATCACCATGTGAAAAGTGTTTTTAACATCAAACTGATCTATTCCTCGTCAAAGATTGGCTGCACAAGACAACAAAATTTTGATTGATTCATCTGCTACAGGGGCAAAGTTTCTGGTAATCAACTTCCATAGGTCTGACTGAACCTCTGGCTAATCTGGCCTTGTCACCTCTCAATGGAAACCATACTGCGCCTTATGATTAACTGTGAACACTTTACATCCAATGGCTTCTTTCCTGCTGGGGAGTTAAAGATCCATGTCCTGTTTTTTGCAAAGCCTCTCAATCTCCTCAACCATTGCAGCCTTCCATTTTGAGTCCTGTAATGCCTCATTGCCATCCTGCATGTATACTAAAATAAAGAAATAGACAAACAAAGGCTCTAATAGGAAGGGCATAGAGCATTAATAGGAAGATGAAATGGGAGGATGGGATGTTTAGGGCATGTTCTAACTCCTTTCTAAAAAAGCAATAGAATATCAAGGTTCATTTGTCAGAAGGGCCTGGAATCAAGGATAGGATCAAGAAATCATCAGGAATTAAAGAAGACTCACAAGTTCTTGTTGGCCATATTTTTCAGAGCCTGAAATTGGAGAAGAACGGTTGATCAGGGTCTTATATGCTCTATGGGTTGTATATGTATACTCCGCCGTGTGTAGGTTTTCAAATCAGGGTCTATCCAATCTTTCTAGAGGTTTGGGTGGTTGTTCTCTCCTACTATTTTATTGATCTACAGGAAATCCTCCTGGAAAGGAATGTCATTCATCCCTCTTCATATTTCTCCCCTTGAAGAGGTGATTGGGAAGGAAAATAAGACTCAAATTCCCGAAATGTAACATCCATACTCACAAAATATTTTCTAGGAGGATGATAACACTTGTAACCTTTTTGAGTAGTAGAGTAACCAACAAACACACACTTCAAGGCTCTAGGATCTAATTTGCTTAGACCATTCTGATGAACAAAACAAACACAAACAAAGACTTTAGGAGGTACAATATAAGAGTTTTTTCCTTGAAGAACCTCTAATGGAGTTTTAAAATTTAAAGTAAGAAGAGGCATACGATTGATAAGGTAAGCAGTAGTCAAAATAGCATCCCTCCAATATGGTTTGGGAAGATTCATAGTGAACATGAGAGACCTAGCTACTTCCAGTAAATGTCTATTTTTCCTTTCCGGGACTCCATTTTGAGCACTAGTATTGACACAACTAGTTTGATGCATAATACCATTAGAATCTAAATAGGTACGAAAAACTGCATTCATGTATTCAGTACCATTATCAGTTCATTATCAGTTCTTAGGATTTTAACATGCACATCAAACTGAGTACAAATCATTTTATGGAAGTTCTGAAAACACGAAAAAACTTCATTTTTTGTTTTCATCAAATCACTCCAAGTCAATCTAGTGCAACAATCAATAAAGGTCGCAAACCACCTATAACCAGAAAGAGAGACAGTTTTAGTAGGACCCTATACATTAGAATGAATAGTAGCAAAAGGAATCAAGCTTTTACTATTAATTTGAGAATAAGAATGCCTGGTGTGTTTGGCAAGTTCACAAGCATCACATACTAATGAATCGAAATCACACTTAGCAAATAAAGTGGGAAATAAAGAAATAAAACGTCCTAAAACAGAAAAAGATGGATGTCCTAATCTTCCTACGCCACTTGAATAACTTTTATGGGAAAAGGATTTCTAGAGTTCCTAACAAAGCTGACCGGTACCCGAATTTGAAAAAACGGACACAAACGTCATCCAACAGCATACCAGGTACCATCACGCAAGCTACTATTGCCAATCGTTCTCCCCGTGCTCAGGGTTCCTGAAATATACAAGAGTAGGTTAAAAGGTTTACTTTGCAATTAAGCGCTTTATGTGATTAAGCTAACAGATAACAGATTAATAGGGAATCTAGCGAACATGAAGAAACAGGAGGACAGTTAATATTGAAAGTTAACAGTTAATAGAACCATGTTGCCAGCAATTGTTTACTAAGAAGCCATCCGCAATGTGCCGCAATGTGAATTTTTTCTGTGCCTTGATACTTAGAATATGTGAGGAAATGTTTTATAGAGCCTGTTGTATGTTTATTTGCTCCTGAATCTATAGCCCTAGAGGGTTTTGCAATTTTTGCAGGAAAGTTAAGAAAAACATTACCCGAATTAACAAAATTAGAAGCTGTAGTCTGAGTTGAGGAAGAATCAAGCTGTGACAACAATCGTTTCAGGGATTGAATTTCCTTATCAGAAAAGCTATCAGCAGTAGATGTTTCCTCACATAAAGCTCCACCATCAGATATGTGTGCCTGCAGTCTAGAAGAACTGACCCGCTTTCCTCCACGCCCTTTAGTTGGGCGTCCATGTAATTTCTAGCAGAACTCCTTAGTGTGCCTGTCCTTACCACAATAGTCACAAAATAATTGATCTTTGTCTGAAGAACTGTTCTTGGCAGCCTGTATATGTTCTCTTGCAGAATTAGAAATCAACCTTGCTTTATCAATTGTAGATCTGTGAACCATAGCATTCCTCCTAGTCTCTTCTTGCTGTACAAATGAATATGCTTGTCGCAAGGATGGAAAAGGATCTCGTCCAAGAACTTGGGCTCGAATTTGATCATACTCGTTGTTTAGGCCAGCCAGAAAGTCATACACACGTTCTACTTCAATCAACTTCTGAACTCGAGTCGCATCATCAGTACATTTGGCTTGAAGGTCTTGGTAATAATCCAGTTCTTGCCATAACCCACTAAGTTCAGCAAAATACTGAGCGATAGTCAGATCTCCCTGCTTGGTTTCATGAACTTTTTGTCGCAATTCTGGTTTCCATGAACCTTTTTGTCGCAATTCATACCTCTGAGCATAGTTTCCATGATTGCGAATACGTCTGTGAAGCGGTGCATTCCATAGCTTCTTAGCTGTATCAAGAAGCAAATAGCCTCGGGGACAATAGATCAAGAAGCAAATAGCCTCGGGAAATAGTTGGCTGCATGGAATTTATTAACCAAGACATAATAAGAGAATTCTCAGATTTCCATTTGTTAAAGCCTGGATCTATCGAAACTGGTTTAGGTGCTCCACCATCAAGGTATCCCTGCAAACCTCTTGCTTCAATGAATAATAAACAAGACCGAGACCAAGTCAGGTAGTTCATTCCATCTAACTTCACCGGGCTAATCTGAAGAGAGGGGCTCTCTGAGTGAAAACCCATATCTACCTTTTTTTCATCACCCATATTGTGTCAGAAAAAAAAAATTTTTAAGCGGCAGTGGCGAAGAACCAGCAGCAGTAGAAATAAACCAAAAAAGGAAAAAATTGCAAAAAAGCAAAACTGGTGCTGAAGGACTAGCAAGAGAAAATCGCCACAACAAATCAAGGCCGCCGGAACAAGAAACGTCGACGGAGCTCGTTGGAAATAGCCGCACGCGTTGGCGCGTGAAGAACGGCCAGAAGCTTCTGGAGGCGCGTGTGCACACGCGCGTGATCAGACGGCGACACGGTTTGGACGGAGGGCCGATTGGCGGTCGCGCTTCCTTCTGAGCCAGGCGGTGACGATCAACTCCTACTCTCGGCGGTACTGTGTGTATGTCAGTAAACTCGGAAACCGAAACTGTCGCCGCTAAAATTCACGGCAATGGCTCTGATACCATGTTGAAAGAATATTTCGTATTTCTTTTATTGTGTGTTATATTTTCAATCTCTACACCACTATATATATAGTGTTATATTTCAATCTTCTTACACCACTATATATATACACAAGCGATTGTTTCCAATATAGGAAGTTAATCTAAAATAGGAATAAACCTAAACTAGGAAAGACATATATAAACCTTAATCAAGGAAAGACAATATTGACTTTAAATTCACCAAAGATTTCAAACATTGATTCTTTTTCTTCTTCGGCAATGGCTCTGATACCATGTTGAAAGAATATTTCGTATTTCTTTTATTGTGTGTTATATTTTCAATCTCTACACCACTATATATATACACAAGATTGTTTCAATATAGGAAGTAATCTAAATAGGAATAAACCTAAACTAGGAAAGACAATAAACCTAATCAAGGAAAGACAATATTGACTTTAATTACAAAGATTTCAACATTGATTCTTTTTCTTCTTCTTCTCTGATATTGTGATTTGATCTCGTTTTTAAGACCAGGCTTATTCTGCTTTTACCTTACATCATTTTTCCAATATGCAGATTAATAACGCAGGATCCAATGCATATAGCTATAAGCCTTTGGCAGAAGCATCAGATGAAGATCTTATGTGAGCAGTTATATGCTTTCTTTTTTCTATTTTTCTATTTTGTTTTTCATTTTGTACATTTGTAACTGTCTTTTTCTGTTGAATGACTTTGAACTTTTATGCAGTGAAGTTGTCACTACAAACACCCTTGGTTTAATGATATGTTGCAGAGAGGTAAAAGGGTTTTCTTTGTTCTTGAGTGGCATACCTGGCCATTTTCTCATGCATAATCATTTTCAAGGCAATTAAAATGATGTTGAACCAACCTCGAGGGGGTCATATATTCAACATTGATGGAGCTGGTTCTGATGGACGACCAACCCCAAGGTATTGCTTTTCAGTTTCCTAATCTTTCAGTTTTAACTCATTAGATTCAGTAAAACTGTTGGTTCCTGTGAGATGTATCATGTTGCAACTGTTATTTTCTATGTGATGTATTCTTGGAATGTTTTGGGGCTCATTGGAAATTGATTTATTGTGCTTTACATGCATAATTTATGTGGTTCTTTTCTTTGAAATTTCTTGTAATCTAGGCATCTCTTTCCCTGATGACATTTTCCATTGGTGATGCTAAAAATACTAAGCTGAACAGTTGGTATGGCTAAAGGTTGTATATAGGACAGGGTTTGATAATACCCATACCTGCACCATCAAGGTTGGGTTCAGGATGGGGTTTGTTGGGTTGGATTTTGCCCATTATGTTTGAAGTGAAAAACTTATAAATTTATGCACATTTGGTTTGTTAATGACTTGGTTTGATTCAGTTTTGAGGATATATTCAAACTGAACCAAGTTGATATGAAAAAAAAATATCCAAACTGACCGTGTCAAACCACCAACATTATTTAAACCTTGGATAGTTTAGGCAATTTATTTTATTTAAAATTTTAATTTATTGGTTATCTTTCTAATATTAGGTTTAAATTTAAAACAAATTTAGTTATTCAACTTCTCAAATTATAAAAAATTACTAATCATTTTAAAACTCTTCACAATAACATCAAAATTTTTTATTTAAAAAAAAAAAATTTTAAGTGATTACTCCACAAAATATTAGAAATTGAAATATAACTATATGGCTTGGTTAGGTTTGATCTAGCACTTTTGGTAAAACCTTAAACCAAACCAGTTCTTCGGTTTATACAATTATTCAAACTGAACCAAATGACCTCTTATATATAACTGCAGTTTGTAGTTTGGTTTAACTTGATTCAGGTCGGTTTTAAACACCCTCAATGGATATCGTGTTTTTATACAAGATATTTCCACATAATTTATGCGTCAAAGTAGGAACATTATGTTTTCTTTCCGAGGTAACATCAATATTTAAATAATTTATGTAATTTTATATTTTTTATTTTACATATATGTAATAATATAACAGTTATACCAAATATAATATATGAATGGTATATAGGTGGGTTCTAGGCAGGTAAGGTGATGGCGCACCACAATCAAGTTGGTGGGGGGTACCACACTAGGTAGAGCATAATTGCCATTGACCAGTCATGATAATATCCTGTGATATGTTTACCTTTTGTTTGATAGATTTTCTTGGGCGTTTATGTTGTGATTTTAACCACATATACTATGAAACATTTCATTTCTGTTTACATTATTCATCTGCTTACTTAGCAGCTCTAATTTTGGATTAATAAATATAGAAAATGGCAAATCAAATTACGAACTCTAAAAAACTGGACAAAATTATACCCTAGAAAATAGGACCAATTTAACCAAAATGCATGATTTTGCATCAATAGTTAAATTTTGGATTAATAATGCTGGCCCCTGATGATCAGATAACAAAATAAAAAGATCAAAGTGTCCTAAAACCTTTAGTTGGTACTTTCTCATCTATCCCATTCCCCTTCAATATTTTTTCTGGTTTTGTGAAAAATCTCACAACTTCTCAATCTATGCTAATCTAGAGTTATTTTGCCTATTGACCCTTAATGTAATTGTTCCCTTAATAATAGATTTGCTGCATATGGGGCAACCAAGCGCAGTGTTGTGCATTTAACAAAATCATTACAGGTACATGCTCAACTTGTTTCAAAAGTTGCAATTCTATTGAATTACATTTAGAATGTCCAGAATTACTGATCCTTTTCAATTTGCCCACTTATGCTCATCGAATACTTGTGAAGAGAATGCTAACTGTATAGTTGTTGTTAGTTGTCTAGATGTTGATACTTGCATCTAGTTTTACATCCTGTTTATACTCTTAGATTACCAAAACCTACTAAGTGATAGGGTACACTTGTGATTTGTTAATTTAATAGAAATTTCTACTTTATCAAAAGTGTTGCAGAAAAAAGCGAAGACATTACCATGATTGGTCTAAAAAATGTTTGTATGATAATAATGTAAGAATGTGCCTATATCTGACTTACTTTTTATTAATTTCCAAGAGTTGGCCATGAAGTGGTGCCTGCATATTTATGTTTATTGTTTTTCTTCGAATGTTTATTGGGAAAATGACATTTCAAATGATTAAACTTTTTGATTCTTTTTATTTGATTGCTTTAACTCCTTCCTGTGCAATTTACTACTTCGATGGACAAAATTTTTGCAATCAAGTATCTTTGCACTTTTTGAGCAAAAGTGCCAATATAGATTAAATTTGGAACAAACAAATAAAATAAAATAAAATTGAGAGAGACATGAATTTATGTGGTCCAGGATAAGTCTATATGTACTATGGGCTGAGGGAGGTTGAAATCCATTAATTAAGTTGGAGTGCAAAAATAGAATGGAGAATAACACTCAAATCCTTCAACTCAAATATATCAAATGCACTCACTTTTCTCAAATAAGTCAAATCTGGCCAAGGATACAGAGAGAATTAACAAAGAATTCTTGGTGCAAAATTGAAGAGGAATTATAATGCCGAAATCACACATATTATACATGACTTGATGCCTTTGTAGTGGACTTGGTAAATATTAGGTAAACAAGCCAATATTAGGCATAGGTGTCGGTCAATTTGGCCTAAATCAAATCCATTAAGAAATTGATTTTGCTTGGTTTGACCAAGTTGTAATTGACCATTTACAAAGCAAAACTAGATTTGAAATTCAAGGCATACACAACAAACCTTTACCTTGACTTGAATTTCCAAAATTTGTAGACTCCCCTTCACCTTCTCCACTAAGCCTCAAGGGCATACTTCAATTATAACAAATACATAAGTCCAAGATATGCTTGAACTTGCTCACTATAAGAGGTTTAGTCATCATATTAGCTAAATTATCTATAGTACCACTTTTTTTCACCACAATTTTGCATTGAGAAATAATATTGAGAATAAAATTGTTCTTCACGTCAATGTGTTGTCCTCTCATGGAATATTTAATCTATAATCAAATGAATAACACTTTTGACTATCAAAATAGATAATATTTCGCTTCTTAATTTGAACGAAGTTTACTACACAAACCTCTTTGCCAAATATCAGCAAGATTATTTGCAAGGTCAATTTTTCACCATAATGTTACCCTGATAAATAACATCCTAGAAAAAGTTGTGCTTCGCATCAATGTGCTTTGTCCTTTCATAAAACATTTGATCTTAGTCAAACGATTAACGCTTTGACTATCACAATGGATAATAGTCACTTCTTGATTTGAATTGAATTAACCAAACAAATCTCTTAACCAAATAGCTTCCTTTATAGCCTTAGTTATTGCCTTGTGCTTTGCTTTTGTTATGAATAATGCCAATGTAAATTGTAAAGTAACTTCCAAGTGATAGCGTTGTTTTCGAGCTTAAAATATAACCAATAATTGATCTTCTTCTTTCAAAATACCTAATCTGAATCAACATAACCAACCGCGTTACCCTTACCCCTTTCAATTACAAATAAGAATTAGTAGTGCCTTGCAAATATCTCAAAATCCTGTCATTGCCTCCCAGTACTCCTTACTAGGATGGGACATGTATCTACTAACTATACTAACTGCTTGTGAAATGTCAAAACGAGTACAAATCATAACATACATGGTGCTACCAACAACACTAGAGTAAGGAACATCTGACTTTTACTTTATATCTTCTTTTGATTCTAACGATAAAGAATAGAAAGTCTGAAATGAGTAGCATGGAGTTCTTATAGGTCTAGCGTTTTAAAATTCCAAAATGCTCCAAAACTTTCTCAATGAAACTCTTTTGAGTTAGTTATAATTTACTTGTGGTTCTATCTTTCTTAATCTCCATACCTAAAATTTTCTTAGCAACTATTAAATCTTTCATCTTAAATTCACTACTCAATTCTTCTTTCAACTTGTTGTTGACCACAAACATATCTTGGGAAACAATGAACATGTGTCAACATAAAGTAGCAAACAAATAAATGGGTCATCAACAAGCTTTCTAAAATACACACAACTAATCATATTTTCTCCCAGAGTAACTATGTCTAAGCATGAAAGAATCAAACCGCTTATAAGAGTGTTTAGGAAATTGCTTCAAAGAGTTTTTCAATAAATAAACATGGTCTTCTTTTGCCTTCAATCTCAAAACCTGTAGGTCGTTGCATGTAATCTCTCTCTTCAAACTTACCATGCAAGAAGATAGTCGTAACATCCAGTTGTTTTAGTTCTAAATCATACATGGCAAGCAAGCAAGCAAGCCATAAATAGTACTTTGTTTAACAACTGGTAGAAACCGTCATGAAAGTCAATTCCATGAACCTAACCATAGCCCTTTGTAACCAATTATGCCTCATATCTAAAATCTTCAACACATGAAATAACTTTTTTTTTCTTAAAGACCCATTTGCAACCTACAATCTTCTTGTCTTTAGGCTGTTTGACCAATTCCCAAGTATTATTTTTATGGAGAGACTCCACCTCTCCTTGCATAGCAACTAATCACCTAGATAAATCATCATAAAAAACTACTTTTTAATACGTGCAAGGTTCATAAATACCATCTATTTCTTGTGCCACAACCAATGCATATGAACATAATCTCTATCAATTAATCTGAGGTATTTTCTTCTCTCTCCTTGGCCTATTCTTATCAATGGAATACTCCTCTTGTGGTAGTTATTGTGTCTCAATAGGAGTAGTGATGCAGGGGAAAGATGTAGGGCTGTCAGTTTTCAACAAGTAAGCTAGAATAGGGTTGATCGTAGGTGGAACAGTAATCAGTAATTAGCTTTGAACCTTTGAATTAAAATTATGAGAAAAATAAGATGAATTACAATACTATTAGTGCTGTCTATTTATAGTGATAAATCCTAACTAGACTAGGAATCCTAATTAAAGAAAGAATTAAAACTCTACTTCTATTCAATGATAAAATAGTAAATCCTAGTAATTAGGCTTTTGGTAACCTTTGAATTAAAATTATGAGAAAAATAAGATGAATTACAATTACTATTAGTGCCTGGCTTATTTATAGTGATAAATCCTAACTAGACTAGGATTCCTAATTAAAGAAAGAATTTAAAACTCTACTTCTATCAATGATAAAATAGAAATCCTAACTCAAACAACTGAAAACGGAAATAGGAAACGGAAAACTAATGCAAATCTGAAATAAAACAGTAAATTAAATAAAATCCTAGTTGTGCTAGGAATCCAATTAGGACTAGGATTGCTCCTGCATTGTTCTCCCCTGGTTTGAAAAAGACTCGGCTCCGACGAGTAAACCTTGATATATTCTGCATATATGGCTGGATAAACTTGCTTTAGCTCTTCTTCAGAAATCCATGTACTTTCACTTGCTGGTTTTCCAAACCACTTAACAAAAAATCATCTATATTGGTTGCTACGCCTAGAACGAGCTTCCTTGACATCCAACACTTCCTCAATAACATCAGCCTTTGCAATTGGCAGCTCTTGGCCTTTGCAATTGGCAGCTCTTGTACTTGTTCTTCAATGGAGGATGGCACTCCATCAAATCCATGAAAAGGATACAAGTCTGAAACATTAAAAATAGGGCTGATTTGTAAATCAGATGGAATATCAATTACATAGGCATTGGAATTGATCTTCTTCAACACCTTACAAGGTCCAAACCTTCTAGATTTCAGCTTATGGTAAGTTCCTTTAGGGAAACGTTCTTGTCTTAAGTGGACGAGAACCTGATCGCCTTCTTCAAATTCTTGTACGCGCCGATGCTGGTTGGCTATATAGGCATATGATGCATTGCTGTCTTTTAAGGCAGTTTTCACCTCTGTATGAATTTTCCTGATGTGCTGATGTGATCAAGCAAACAATTCCCCTTCAGCACTACTCTAGCCTCCTTGGGGCAAAGGGGACCAAATCGAGTACTAATTTCTTGAGGTTTAAGTCATAGCAGCCTCAAAAGGAGTCCCCTTCTTTTATACCTTCGATTGGACTGAACTTAAGTACTTTTATACTGCGTTCCCAGCTTGGGGACAACTAGATCCATGTCTTTGTTAATTGCTCCCACGACATCTTAATAGACTTTCCCCAAACTAACGCATTGACCTAACTATCCAGCTCAGACCGTCAGTATATAATAGCGGTGCCAATTGGCCATTGTACTATCCTCTCTAAGGAGAATATACTTCCCTCAAATTTAGTTGTCCCAATTTCTTCCAACAAAGTCCTCACAAAGTGTCCCATATAACTTTACACCTCTAACGGATACACAGGTAGGATATTGGCAACACCATGATCAGTCTTCAGACACAAGAAAATCACTCTTGGAAAAAACATAACTCAGTTAATCCATGCTCTGCAATACTGCATTAGAAGTCTTGAAACATGGGATAAAATGAGCCATTTTGGAGAAATGATCCACTAGAACAAATATAGAATCAAATCCCTTTGCTGTCTTTGGAAGTCCCAAAACAAAATCCATACTCAAGTGAACCCAAGGTGCATCTGGCCCGGGTAAAGGAGTATATAATCCTGTATTTTGCGTGCTTCCCTTTCCGAGTAAACAGTTTGGACATCGTTCCACCAATTTTCTCACATCTTTTTCCATCTTTGGCCAATAATAACGGTCAGAAACAATCGAAAAAGTCTTGTCTCTACCAAACTGTCCTTCCAAACCAT